GAATCGAGCCGAACTACGGGGGTCGCCATTTTGTTTTGCCCGGAAGTTCTCGCAAGATCTACTCCTCCCCTCTCTCTCTCTTTCTGAATACTGTCTATCGGTGTGGACGATCAAATTGACCAAAACGAAGTAAAAAATGATGTAAACTAAATTAATTTGATTGTCTACAAATATGCTACGGCTATTTAACTTTCCGCATCGAGCCGAACTACGCGGGTCGCCATTTTGTTTTGCCCGGAAGTTCTCATGCTACTCCTCTCTCTCTCTCTCTCTCAACTGCCCACAGACAAAATTGCACGCTTTAAGGCTAACACTAACAGTAGTAATAGATCTAGAATGTTTGTTCACAACACAGAATTCTATAATTCTGTTATCACAGTGTAGAATTCTGTGGTTTAGGGTGAATGCTTCACTGGTTGGCCTAGGCTATAACGGTGAACGCCCACTGGGTGAAAATAGCCAAAATACTCGCCTGCGCTATTCTCACATGGGATGAGAATAGAGGTGGCCTTTTATTTTCATCATCGATTAACACACTCCCACGGTATTTATGGCAAAAACACATGTTTCCACACATGCTCGCTGTACACCAACAGTACACACTGAGTGACCCCGGAGGCCTGCCTGGAACGTCCGACGTAATCGGTTGCTGAACCATAGTATAAGATTCGCATCTCAGCACAGACGCAGGACAAGAGTTAATGGGAAGATTGAAGAATACCGGACCACTCGTACATTATTGCGCGAGAAAGTGGGGTAGGTAGGGCGGGTGGTTGGGTGGAGGAGGGGGGAGTTCAGGGGGGCTGACAAAATATTAAGGCCGGCACTATTTCTCCGAACGTTCGGGAAAATAAAGCTGGGCACTATTTCTCCGAACACTCTGAAATCACACCCTTTCCCGCATATTTCGGATAATAAAAATAAAATATAGATCTATAATTATATTATAGGCCAACCAAAGATTGTTCGTATACAATATGGTTCAATCGGTCCAAAAAATGTCCGTATTTATATAAAGAAATGCTACAGTTCCAAACAGTTTTTCGCTACAGATATGACGTGTGGCCTATGAAGGGTGCTGCTCTTAAACTTAATGTGTTGCGTTCACTCGTGAGCTGTCTAGATCTAGATCTATGGAGGGTTATTGATAACGACACATAGAGCTAGCATCTGCGTTTGTCGAGGCCGCGACCAATCAATCGTGGCTCGATTTTTTGGTCCCCGAAAAAGTCAAAAAAAAAGAAAAGAAAATGAAACTCTTTACTTTTGAAAGAAAGTTCACTTAGCTTCACTTCGTCTCTTTCTCACTTGTTGTCACCACGTTGATTTGTTGAATACGTTACAGTTACATACGATTTGTATTGCTGTTCCTCTTTTATTTTTCGTTCATTTTTCCCTCTTTGTGGTGTTATATTTTGTTGGTGTGTATTTTTTTTTCTTGTTATTGTTCTGATGTGTTGTTTTTCTATTAATTTTTTTTTTTGTTGGAGAAAAGGGGGGGGGGGGGGGGTTGTATAGTGTAACGTCATTTAATTTGATGTTCATACAAAAGGTATTGTGTAACGTCATTTAATTTGATGTTCCTACCTTCATTAGATTCTAAATATATATACCTGTATAGATTTAAATGTGCTATGTTAGAGCGTTCCACCAAAACCAAGTACATGTACTGACACTGGCAGGCCCCCTGTGTGTGGTTCCATAATTTCCATGCAATATCCTGTACTTTTTAAAACAAATTACGCACATTTAGGGTTAAAACGGTCAATCTTCTTCGGACAGGTGGACACGTGACGCCCTTATTTGTTAATTGTTGTGGTTGTTTCTGGGCTGTTCTAGTTTTGATTTCATTCTGTTGTGAAACCTTTCTTTTTCACGTTTTTACACTCATCTAAAAATCTCTAGACTAGATCTAGAGTACATCCTGTGGTGCGATATACAGTAAGCGATCTTTTGTGGATATCTCTGGAAGTTACAGGTCGATCTTCATGATTTTTTCACCAGAAGTTAGAAAAACTTCCTCTCTATACGGTGTAGCGCATTACTGTAACAGCAGTTTAAAATTTCTATATGTATGTGGTGGTGTTTGTTTGGTAACGTGTGTCTGGTTTGGTGCGCAAGGTTTCTGGTTTGGTGCAACATATCGTCTTGTTTGGTGCGCAATAGTACCATGTTTACAGCTCTAGATCTAGATCTAGCTCTTTTCTGACACTTTTCATCTTTCTCTATCCTTGCTTTGTCTTCTTTTCCTTGCAAGAAGTTCCTGTACTGACCATAATGGAAGGCCAAGGTCAATTAGGCGTGTTCTTTTTGGGAGCTGTGCGCCCCCTGACAGGAGATTTCCTTACACCTTGTGTATGTGTTTTGATAATGGATAAAAAGAAAGGTGCTGTGGACACAAGAAGGGGAAAGAAGAAAACAAGAATAAGACTATACCTAGACTAGTATTTTAGAAGGAAAAGGACAAAAAAGAAGAAGAAAAAGACGTGAAAAGAAGAAATTGAAAAAGAAAGGTGCTGTGGACACAAGGAAGTGAAAGAAGAAAACAAGAATTAGACTATACCTAGACTAGTATTCTTTAAGGAAAAGGGCAAAAAAGAAGAAGAAAAAAAGACATGAAAAGAAGAAATTGAACATTTTGGAGATTATATTTCCATATTAATTAATTTTGACATGAATACATTAACTTATCATCTTCCAATGGCAATATAATGCATCCAAATGGAAGGAAAACAGTCTGTTTCAGTGCACAATGCAGGTCATAGAGAAATAACTTAATAAGTAAAACAAACAAAGGGCCTAGAAGCCACACTATCAATGCCAAATAGCAAAAAAGCCGATATTGCGCACGAAACGGACTGCCCAAATTTGGTCCTCTTCAGTGCGCAACCCTATCTAACACGTTCCTGGGCATTAAGAAGCAGCCTGCGATAGTATTTATCGATTCTAGTATACATTCTACGATACATTAGAGCTAGATTAGCTAGATGTGCTAAATAATCGACTACTCAAGCGCTTAGTAAATTGATCGATACCGGTTACGAAAACCATTAATATGAAGGGGCAAAACTTTCCGACACCGTAGAATCACGTGTGTTGACAGGAACCTCCAAAACGAAAGTGAAATAAGCTGCATTCTGCGCATGCTCACAGAAAATGACCTCGTTTTCGCTGTTCTTATCCAAAACAAAGCAGGAGACCGGGGGTTGCGCACCAAAACAGTAGCGCGGTGATGCGGGCCTACTCTAGCTCTTGAAAATTGAAATAGATCTAAACCCAAAAATTTGCTCCGTTTTTTTTTTTAATGGACGATAACCGTCCACTCAATAGAAAAGAGGGTCAGATTTCTCCGTCTCTCGGGTGCCTCAGGCAGTACCCGCCTCGCTAAACCAGTGGGCACACGGCCGGAGGAGAAGCTGAGAACAGATACCACCTTTGATTTGCTCCTTCCCAGACCTCGCAGAATGACGGAATGAAAGTTGGCGCCGAACTCTCGCAAATAGGCAAACAATCACGACCAGAGCGGAAGCCGGAAACCGTTCGGAGAAATAAAGATCGGCACTATTTCTCCGAACGTTCGGAGAAATAGTCACTTCGAAATATTAATGAATAGATCTACCGGTCCGAGATTCTCCATTGAGAGATATATTAAAAACGGGGAAATTATGAATTCCAAAGGCTGAGGAGACATAGGCAAAGTCAGTCCACTGGTCCGGTATTCTTCAAGGCCACCTCTATTCTCACCCGGGATGAGAATAGTGCAGGCGAGTCTTTTGGCTATTCTCACCCGGTGCGCGTTCACCGTTATAGCCTAGATCTAGACCAACAAATTTTGCGTTCACCCTAAACCACAGAATTCTACACTGCGATAACAGAAACATTGTAGAATTCTGTGCCGTGAACAAACGTTCCATTACAACTGTAGCCTAGGCCTAGCCTACTAAAAGCGTACAATTTTGTCTGTGGGCAGTGGAGAGAGAAAGATAGAGAGAGAGGAGTAGCGCGAGAACTTCCGGTCAAAACAAAATGGCGACCAGCGTAGTTCGGCTCGATTCGAAAAGTTAAATAGCTGTAGCATCTTTGCGAACAACCAAATTAATTTACTTTTGTGTTTTAACATCATTTTTTAACTTTGTTTTGGTCAATTTGATCGTCCACACCGATAGACAGTATTCAGAAAGAGACAGAGAGAGAGAGAGATAGGGGAGGAGTAGATCTTGCGAGAACTTCCGGGCAAAACAAAATGGCGACCCGCGTAGTTCGGCTCGATTCGAACAGTGAAATAGCCATAGCATCTTTGAAGACGATCAAATTAGCTTACTTTTGTACTATAACGTAATTTTTTCTTGGCTTTTATCAATTTGATCATCCACACCGATAGACAGTATTCCAAAATGAGGAAAAGCAGGTCTTGTTTCGCACCGGGTGAGAATAGCCTACGCTGGCAATTCTCACCCGGGGTGAGAGGTAGATCGTTTTTCTATTCTCACCCCGGATGAGAATAGCCACTTCCATTCTTCAATCTTACCGAGTTAATTTTATAGGCCTAAACAATCTCAGCAATTCTTGTTCTATAAATTTACCTTTTCCTCAAAGTTGTAAAAACACACAAGCGTGCGTGCACACACACAGCCCCAGTCGGCAATGAAACCTAGAGACGTAGCGTAGCCCATCGTGCGCGGCTAATAGTAATAGTAATACGGTTAGATAGTCTAGTTAACAGGCAAGGGAAGCATGAAGGAAGCCGCAGAAGACGACAAAAATAGATGGCAGAAATACGTTATCTAGATCTACATTTGGACCAATCATAGACGTGTGCTTGGTGCTCGCTGTAGCTTCATTTTCATGCATGCATGTCTTCTTATTAACTTATTATCATGATAACATGATAATCGTGATCTGCAATCGGCAATCGGTAATCGGTACCGGGATTCAGCACGATCAACCCATTTTAGTGCAACATTTCGATAACATATTTATTAGAGCATCAATATACATACCATTAAAGGAAACCCGTCGACAGAGCACTCAATGTGCAATTTGATATTATTTGTTTATCACAAAGAACTTGTGGCCGCAGTCTTCTAAAACAAAAACGTTCCCATTTCCAACATGGCGTCCTTTTTAGGCCAGGTAGATCTAGTAAACAAAATCGAGCTCTTGTTTCGTACCCTGAAGACAATTTTTAAAAAAGAAATGAAGTTATTTCAACTAAAGTCATAAAGCCTTCGATCATTGATATTTATATCTAAGGAAAATTTTAATTTATATGCAGATTAACAAAATATTTAGATGTATATTGGTTCTATCATAAAGATACGTTGCAAACGACAAATTGGCATATTATTCCGTATCCGTATGAAATGATTGTTGTAGTAAGAGGGTTCAATGAATGCAAACTTCGAGTGATCGTTGACCACAGAATTCTGTGTCGTTGACATAACTTGATATGCTTAACTTTTGAGACATAAGTGTAAACATTATTTTTAAATATTTGTAACTTACTGTGAATGTGAATGTTATATTTACAGTCTCGTCTCTCTTATTTTCTGGACCAGTCTTTCGGGGGGTGGAGGGTAGAACTTGGGGAGAGCAAGTGCAAGGCATCACACTTGTGTTATAATTAGATTAGATTTCTATATAATTTCCTTGAAAGTGTCTTCCCGAATCCTAAAAACTTCTAGGCTAAGACTGCCCATTTAACTTTAGTTCTCCATTTCATAGCACCTGATTATCAGTATAAATCGTATTACATTAAGGTTTTATTTTGAGCTTTGATTCCAAATACCGAACGATGTGTATTTTCACCTAGCCTTAGGCCTATCGTTGTACGCATGATACAGACTCACTCCACAAAGTTATAGCATTTCCGGTTTTGCCAAGTTCGATCGAGTCGATAGAACACCAAACAAATTTGTATTGGCAACTGACGTTCAAATAGTTTTATGCCTTCAGAATGGCTGGTATCAATATAAGTGCAGGGTCTTCTCAAGAGCAGCCATGGTATGTTGCTCTTTTGGGTTTGGCTGAGCACTTTAGGACTTCAAATCCCCAAAACATTCGGTTGTGCATACACTGCCTGCAGTCAATATTCAACTTCAGTCCACCACCACATATTGAAGCGAGGACACATCTGCAACTCGGTACCATACTTCTGACCCACGCTAAAAATATAGATATAGCAAGGAGTCATCTGGAAAAAGCAGTGAGTATATCTTTTTATAAAATGCATAGATTTGAATTATATTTAAAATGTAAAGGGTGTGTATGCCATCCACATTTGAATGGGGAGGAATTCCGTAACGAGCGACCACTGGTGATCTTAATTCTTTTAAACTTTTTTAGCAATTGGGGACTTCCGTAATGAGCGACCACTATTAAATCTAGATCTGGACAAGACCGGGGGTGCCAGTCAAATTTTGGTGCTTTTTCGGTAGTTCCCACCCCCCTTATTTGAGCCTGACCTACATCTAGATCTAGATCTATACGTTTGATTCGCGGTGAGCTAAGATATCAAACCTAACAACTGCAAAACATTAAATTATGGTAAAATTCAGGGGGGCATGCCCCCCCTGAAACCCCCCTTCCTATTTTTATTAGGTCAGGGGGTCAAGCCCCCCTGAAACCCCCCTACTCTTGTGGCCCAAACCCATGAATAAAATTGCGGGGTGGGAACTACCGAAAAAGCGCCAAAATTTTTGTCAGCTGGACTGTTGACAGTTGACATGAGATTTATTGCTGATAATGATTTTCATTCAGTTTTAAGTAAATCTAAACAAACATGAATCAACATTCAAAAACGCCTTGCCGATTTGAAGGCGCTCAAATAGACAAGTGGGATTCACTGCTGTTTTGTCAAGACAGCCTCATTCCTTCCCGTTTGTTATCGCGCCGGCTCGTAACTTTAAATCGTCTCCCGTCAAGCCGCCACATCGCGGAACTTCGTACTTCGTATGAGGCCAAACCGAACCCGGCGATGACGTCAGTCCTGTGGACAAATCCATCGACTGCCCTCAAAATGAATAGGGCGTCCCTTAATTGCCAAATTGGCCTCTTTGTAGCTTACAAAATTAAGAATGAGACTGTCTTGAGCAGCAGAGACACATATGTATTATTTTATCAGCAAAACATGTTTATCATTCAGCCTTTCTCGAACTACTATCAGAACATTATTGTCGGCATGGCACTAATCTTTTTTGTTTATTGACTTTTTAACCACCTATAGTTCCTGTTTGGCATTCACTCATCGTTTTCTCCCCACTAATAACTTACCTGGCCCAAAGGAGTCTGGCTGGCGAAAGGAGGAATCGTCTAGTGAAGATGAAAATTTTAACGAGGAGCTGTCACAGTCTGGGCCGAAAACAATAGGCAACCCCCTCCCTTCCCTCTCCTTTTCCACCGTCATCCCAGCTAAACACCAAGTTCTATAATTAGCATTTGACACACTTCCCCGCTTTGTTACAACACAGTGTTCTGTTTTGAGAACTGAGAAGTGCGATGAGGAACATTTGACGATATAATGATCGGAAACTGTTGTGTGCTAACTTTGTCCAGCTTTGAATAGTATCCTTAGCATTGATCTACTTGGGACAGCGTCACTGGTACGGTATCAATTGACTTTTTGTAATCATTCAGGACAGTTTTTATTACATATTTAACGGGTCCAGTGCATGTCGATATTTTGTGTGGGAGTGTAGAAAGTACGAGTAAAATACCGGAGGCCAGGACCAGCAGTTATTGCCTCTCACTTTCAGTTTGTATTCTACCCTAGTAGTGTTTCTTTTTCTGTGCCGACCAAGTCAGTTTCTATTAATCTCAGTAACTTCCATCATAATCATACGTTATTCATAATATTGTTTCTTGACACTACCGCATATTTTAGCTCTTTCCCATTATATTACAATGTTTACAGCGGTGTGTGTGTGTGTGAGTGGGGGAGGGGGGGAGAGAGAGTGTGTGTGTGTGTTGTGAAGGAAGGGGGTGGGGGATGGAGAAATAGTCGATGTGAATGACCGCCGGTCAGTTCTATAAACCACGAGCCGCCACTGATTATTGGGGGACTTCTCTGCTTCCAAAATCATGATGGAAGACCGAAAACCACTGTAATACCTTCTGTGCATATGACAAAATTGCGGTAGTTTGCACATTTTAAGGCCCAGTTCAAAGTTTTGAAGGTCTGAGTCTGGGATTAGTAGACTTTGGGAATTTAACGTGCTAAAGTATAAGATGACCCGACCACTTCACATTGAAACAAAGTAGGATAGAGTATAGATCTAGAGTGTTGCGGGTAAGAGATGGGGTAGGTAGGTCTAGAATCTAGATCTAGATCTAGTTTTTTTTTCGTATGAGTTTTACGGCACTTGCAACACAATAAGGTCATATAAGTGCCGAAGAATAGAATGTATGATATCAACCAACATACACAAAAAAGGGTAAAATTTATCTAAACACTCCTGTCTCATCATTTTGTAGATTTAGGGGGTGTTTAGGGCCCTGAGAACACAATTTTAGCATTGAATAACGTCGCAAATGGTTGGTTTAGATGACATGAAACTACAGTGAGCACCTAGCTCACCTCTGTATTCGATCCGGACATTTGGGGATTGCTTTGTTAGTGAGAACTTCCTGGGCCTCGGCGTTCGTGGTAGGGTGGGCAGTTCCTTTCCTTGCCGCCTTTACTTCCCCAACTCAATGTTGGGTAGGCAGGAGGAGACGAAAAACATCCGTGTCCGAACTGAGGCTCGAACCCGGACTTTCCGCTTCAGAGACGAGCGAATGAATGAGTATCGCCATTGTAATGTGTTCTGTTGCTAAGACGACATTATAATTCAGATTCAGTATCAAAACTCTACAACTATACTATATGGTAACAGCTAGATTTATTTAACTAGATTTCACATTACAGTCGAACCTGCCCTGACGGCCACCTCTATAAGACGACCACCTGTACAATCGGCCACTTTCCATTTCCCCCCTTGCGTTTTTTCTATATAATTTAACTGTGTAAAACGGGCACCTGTCCAACGCGGCCGCGGCCACAAAAATTTAACACACAACCCCTATAATACTAAGCAATAATACCTGTCTAAGACGGTCACCTTAGTGACTCCATTACGTTTTGTCATAAATTGTGCATTGGCCCCTGGCGTTGTGGGCGAGCCGTCATAATTCAATCACCTGTCGTTGTTGTTAGGTAGTCCCTCCAACCGACCATGTTGCGTAGGCCCTCATAACCCATAAGCCCCGCCTAGAACTCATACACAAATCGTAAGTGAGATGAGTGGTTACTGTTTACCCAGTCTGTAACAAAGTAACAAAGGACGTCAACATGAACTTGTTACAGAAGCGTCCCTCGTTCTCCGAGTGGTGGCGACCCATGTGTTTGTTTTAACATGGCACTCGGTCTTCCTTGTCTGATACATTTCGTTTTATTGTCACCATTGTGCAAAATCAGCGACAAAATAAAAATTACAAACGAAATACAAACCAACAGCAACAACACCAACTAAGACAACAACAATGCGGCTACTTTCGATTGGGGCCTCAGACGGGAATGGTTTGTTTTCTTTATCTTGATCAGTCCTGCCTAAGACGGCCACCTGTCTTATGCGGCCACTTTTCTCCTTGCCAATGGGTGGCCGTCTTACACAGGTTTGACTGTAATTTATAAAACTAAGATTTTAAATTTCTTTGGTAAATTTTTACTTTTGCACCCACACAGAGATGCACTGATTTGAGGGCTAAACTGCCATAATTTTTTCTACAGAACATATGTATGGCCACTAACACCCTTGCAAATCATTGTTTTCAATTAAATATCAATCCTAATTACCAAAACATCAAATCGTGAAATGCAGGACCCCCCCCCCCAATTCCCAACCAAGTTGTTAAAAACAAGTCAGATATCACTACGCCATTGGTCCTATTATAGTTCTGTTTTCAAAAATCAATAACTCAATAAGTATTGATTTGCGGCAAAAATGAGGCCATATATATTCATGTTCCGCTCGCAAAATACTACTAGATCTAGAAAAAAGTATAAAAGGTGTACATGAGACGGGTGCATGAGTGGAAAAAAAAACATTTCTTTTCCCACTTATTTTATTCCAGGTGTCCTTTTTGGATCGGGTCAGGTTGATTAATACTACGAATAGATCCCTTGTTGATTGTTGTGTCAGATTTGATGAAAATAGAACTTTTTAAAAACTGACATGCAGTGTTATTGTACACTTATGTTATGGTTCACAACACAGCCATTTCCTACTTCCATCGCAGTTTCAAGTACCAACTGCCACCTATATAGTAATTAAAGTTGCTCTGTAGAGAGGTTCTTGAATCCGACAGACATGGGAAATATAGCTTTTTCTACATCTATCTGATCTTCAGTATCATTTTTCAATCTCTCGAAATCTACATGATGTACTATGAACACACTGTCCATTACCATAACCACGTTCAGCGTACATGCGGTATACACATCTGATCGTCCGACTTACGACCTTGGTGAACAGATGTGTTTATTTTTTAAAGTCATAATCGCACAAAATTTTGTCGAATTGTGCCACAGTAATGATAATGGTAACTTTTGCCCGTCCATGGAGGAAAATCTAGATGGCCCCAACCCAATTCGACTGAATTCGATTGGCTGTGGGCACTAGATATTAGAAAGAAAAAAATCAGATTTTGGGTTTGAAAATGAAGTAGGTTCCTCTGGCTCTGACTCAGTCTCAGATGTGGAGTAGAAAATCATAAGTGTAGGAGTAAAGTGTCAACGTAAGCTGCTATTTTTTGGTTTTCGTATAATTAGGATGCCTAGGCCTATTTTCTAAAAGTTAAGCAGAAGAAAAATGTTCTTGTACACCTGCCTCAGGATTCATATACAGTAAGGATGGGTAGTCTCTAAACATGCTGTTCAGATGTTCAGTCAAGTGGCTTTGTACTCCTTGTAAGTGATTTGTTACATGTAAGATAACTGTACACTTTCTTGTAAGCTTGTATTTGATGTCGTTTTTTGTTGTTGTTGTTAGGTGGGGATGCTTGTAAATTTCTTTTACATGCACACATAAGTTTAAGTAAAAAATTGTCCTATTGTTTGAATAATGAAGTAATGATTTATTTCTTTTTTTATTCCTCAGTGGACAATTTCCTCAACAGTATCCTTTCTCTCTATACCTCATGTCATGCCTGACATACTGTTTGTGGGTATGGGAAATTGGTAACATGTCATTTCCTTATAATTCTGTTGGTGTTACATTCAAAGTATATAATAGTAAGCAAAGACACAAACATTGGTTAATACTTTAACATGCAATGTCACCTTTTTTTATTCTTCTTCTCTTCTATGTTTAAAAGAATCCAATTCTCATCTCAGATCTTGTTTTAATAATACTGGAGAAAGGAATTATAATGAGAATTTTTATTACTTTAAAAAATGTAAAATGTTTGTTTTTAAAAAAGTGGTAATAAAGGGG